CGCATGTTATCTATGTTTCTGATGGTGCATACAGTCACTTCAAAAACAAGTACCAGTTGTTTGAGTTATGTTAGAAAGAGTCATATATCAACAAAGTGGATTTTTTCAGCCACAGGACATGGCAAGAACTCTTGTGAAGGCGTTGGTGGCCTACTAAAGCATCAGGCTACGCTCTACAACCTCAGAGCGGCAAGCTCAGCTGTGATTATGTCAGCATCCCAAATGGTGGCGCGAATGAGCGCGAAGCTCAAGAATGTCAAGCTGCTGTGTGCAAATGCAGACAAGCTAGAAACATTCCGTCAGTTCCAGTGGAAATCATTGCCACGTGTTCCAGGCATACGTTCTTGGCATGTTTGGCTAAGCACATCTGAGGGCACTGATCATGGTTGTGTTTTGTTAGCGTCACGTACTGCTAAATGTGATCTGCAAAAGATGCAGCCATTTTGAGCGCATCTCTTGGTTCACGCAGTCACCACCAAAATACCAGTGAAGGTACTTCAAGCGCATATGCTTTTTCTAGCGAGACCCAACACTTGCGTTGGAACATTTTCATGTTTGAGTTTATCTGCAAATACAGATAGATGTTTTGCAACTGAGTTAAAGTGTCGAAGATTTCCTCCATTAGGAGCATAAATGCGCCTTCATGGGTACGTATTTGCCACAGTGCTACAACAGCCTTTCTTCACCAAATGCGGTCATGTTTACTCGCGTTTGAAGCTCATTGCCGCTTTTCCGTTCCGATTTATAGATTTCTCAACTTATCAGCGCATTCTCGAAAAGCTCTGATTTGTACCATGAATATTGTCTCTAAAAACAAAATAATGCTAGTTTTTCTATATTACTGTATGATGGCCTTCGGTTGTCTACTTACGAGATTTTAAGAAAAATCGAAGATGGGGTTTTTTTATTATTCAAATTTCAGTGGAGTACACTTTTGTCAATATGAGAATTTCGAGGCAATATATAAAAATTTACATTTGCCCTATTGCAGCAATAATTTATGTATCTAATGAACACACTATATTCTTAAAACGTGCCAAGTTTGAGAAACGCTGCTTGCATTACTTTCGGAGAAGAAAAATAGGGAGTAGCTAACTTATTTTAAACTGTCGCAAAATCAGACATTTTTAAAAGCAATTTTCTTAAGGTCTGCAAGCTTGAAACCGTATGAATTCATTCTTCATTTCAGGTAAAGAATACATTTCAGGTAAAGAATATCTTCCTTGAAACAAAAATATTTGTCTTTTCATAGCATCTGCAATTTTCGAAAATGACAGGTGACGAAGTTGGTGCCTCCGTGTTGGTGAAGTTCGATATTTTTTTTCTCGTAAGTTATGTCATTAATAATAAAACGAAGTTGACTTTCGGGCTACCTGGTGAGAGGTGCACGAAATATAAAAAACCAATGAAATCTAAAATATCAACTTTTGGACCCGTGTCGATCTCTCGTGGAATCACCCATTAGTAAAGTGGACTTTTTCTTTCATATCCAATAGGTCTCACTATGTATCTATAATCACTATAAATCTGCATGTATGCTGATGATTGTGTTTTGTATCATATGATTAAAACTTCTCATGATCACATCATTCTTAATGATTCCTTTGCATCTTTTTAATCATGGTGTGACACTTGGCAAATTCAAATCAATTTCCAGAAAACAGTATCTATGTCATTTACGAAGTGTTCTTTTCCTTCTCCATTTATTTATTAGTTTAATGGTTGCCTTCTTGGAAAATTTTCGCAGTATAAATATGTAGGTCTCATTTTCACTCCGGATTTATCTTGGTCTCATCAGTTTGAACTCGCTCGCGTGTAACCATGCACTTAGAAAGTTACGCTACCCGCAATGCACAGTACGTTCAGCACCTCTCAGCATTGGACTCCTTACTTATGACCCTTTGGTTTGTCGAATATTGCAATATGGGTCTATTGTGGGGAACCCACACAAAATTTCTGATATCAACAAAATAGAATCTGTTCAGAAGAAAGCCACATCCCTTATTTATAGTTACTATGACAGGTATTTTCATAATCTATATGAGCGCTAAAGGCACGTACGTAAGACGAGGGAAAGACACAGGACAAGCGCTTGTCTTGTGTCCTTCGCTTGTCTTACGTACGTGCTTTTAGCGCTTACATAAGTTATGGATCAGTACCAACTAGCCCGAACCCTGTGCCTTCTAAGGTATTTTTCACTTAATTCCCATCTTCCGATTCTCCGCTTACCCATCCATCTCTCTTGTCATCACGTGGAATGTTTGAAGTTTCTTCATGATTTGATTAACACTCCATGAATCCCCCTACTCGGCAAGTCATCGCACCCTCCAGACCAACAATCACCTGAAATTACCTTGAGTTAAACATGTCCTCTTTTTCTCATTGTACAGTGGCGTTTAAATATAGTTTTTTGTTGATTCTATAGAATTGTGGAATGCTCTGCCTGGGTTTGTTCGATCTACATCACATCATGTCACGAAGTCTTGACGCTGACAAAGGTAGAGACGACTCGTTCTAATGAGAATTGTTTAATTAATTGGCCGAACTCGTGGCCACGTAAAAAAAAAGAAAAGTTACAGCAAGGCACTGGAACTGATAGCGGCGGGCAGAGCGTCGGCCGTCGATCAACTGACAAGCGGCAAGGCGAGTCGGCATTTTTAAACTCGCCATCGAACATTCTAGCATTATCGCTAGCAGCGACGTAGGTTCCAGAATAGTCTGAAAGGTTCACGAAGTGGGCGTAATCTTAACAAAACAATCTACTACAGCTTCGAAGCTTCTCTAACACCGTAGGAGCGGTTTGCACTGAACATAGTGTAACGGGGCGATAACAAAACTTGAGGAAAGAACGTGGCTGTATATTACAGTAGACTCTCCATAAAGAGAATGTGAAGGGACCAGTAAAATGTCTTCCAGTTAACAGGAGTTCCGTTTACTGAGATATGAATAGGGGCACACAATACAAGAACGAAACCAATCTTGTCAGAAGCATTTGTTCCATTTAGGCAGCAGTTCCATTAAACAGGTTTCCATTTACTGAGAGTCTACTGTTCTAATCAATGATATTCAGTGAATTTAGTTATAATGTTTTGTGTATTTTATTTTGCCACTCCTATGTTGCTCTTTGATGTATTAGCCCACTCTTGCAATAGCCCTTTGGGGCTGCAGTATGTTAAAATAAAATTAATGAATAAATTTACATCTAAACCAGGATTTACGAAGGGAATCATAGGGTATAGTTCAATGCCTAACTGAAAAATTCCGTGCATCTGGGTATCTCTTGCAAAACATTCAATCACACACTCAGTTTACATTTTGTGACTCCTGGTTGTTAATTTACTCTTCTCCCACACTCTATTACTAGCGAAAACTGCTGCTTGTGTGAGTTTGTTTATCGTCAAGATTGATATACCTGTGTAAAAAAAGACAGAACATTCAGGAAGGAAACACACTCACTGTGCTTCTTAATTTACTCTTCTCCCACACTTTATTACAAGCGAAAACTGCTGCTTGGGTGAGTTTATTTATGGTCAAGATTACTAGTGTAAAAAAAGACAAAACATTGAGGAAGGAAACACACTCACTGTGCTGTGAGTGTGTGTCCTTCCTGAACTTTCAGTCTTTCCTTGCGCTGGTAAATCTAACTTTATTATAGGTTTGTGCGAATACTTGAATGCTTCAAATATTTGATTGAATATTACTGTATTTGAATGCACTTTAATTCGAGGTAAAAATATTTAAAATTTCAAAGTATTTGAAATGAACAAATAGATGTTGTTTTGTAAAGGTGGCATCACTGCATTATAGGGATGCTAAGCCATGAAAGCACATTTTCAAATGTATATTCACATGTAACTCTTTGCAAAAGTAGTTTCAATACAGTGAAAGGGTGCTAATCTGTGAGTCCGCCTATCCAGGGGAAATCCACACTTCAAGGTTAAATGAACATGTACCCTCACACTGATTCATCATTTTTTTAAGTTTAAAAGCTTCTTATATCATCTAATATGCTCTAAATAGAGTCAATAATAAGAAACCAGTATACTTGGCAGTTTTTTACATGCATTTTAACAAAACTCAAGTTCTGCTACTATTCAAGGTTTTTGACTTCCTTTGAACAATAAAAAATGGCTTTTGCACAGGTGAAAAATTATTGTACAGGTTAGTTGGGTTGTGACAAATATATACTTATTTTTTATTGAATATGTGTATATCCTATATTAGAAATCGATTCAAAATCATTTGATGAAAATCACAATTTGTACAAGCCTACACATTGTTCCTTTCTCGTCATGACACTTGTAGAATGTCTTTTTGTGAAAAAACTTCCAGCACCAGCATGGCTCTTCATGAACTGTGGGCACCGTGGAGAGCCATGCCGGTGCTTAGAACTCCTTCAATGCACCTTTCAAATACCTTTTTATAGCACAGTGTTGCTTGAAATTCATTTTGTAAGGTCTATTGTAAATGTGTGGAGGCAACCTTAAGTATTTTGTATGCTATGTGTATACGTAAACCTAAGTTGTAATAGTTACAATTTTAGAGAAAGAAAGGAAGCATCGGCGTGGCTTCATACTGGGCTGCCGCGAAAAGGACCTAAGTTTGAAACCTGTTCCATCGTGAATATTTTTTTACGTTCTTTTTTTCTTATGCCTATCAATAATGGTTATAGACATCGGTGGAGACGACAGTGGCGGACAAATATGACGCCCTTGTTATGATCTCATGGCAACTTTCGCTTTAAACAGGGAGCAAAGAGAGTAGAGCACAATGACAGCAGGCCATTCTTACTTGGGTTACATAGAGGACATTCAAATGAGCAGTTACTGGATAAGTTAGTTACAAGAATCAGCTGGTGAAGTGCTGCGCCGATCTCATCTGCACTTGTGGATTTGTTTGTTAAGTGCGCAGTATCAAATGTTTCATGGATTGCACGAAATGGCATGTTGTCTTTCACAGTCGGCAGTGAACTTCGTAATAATACTAATCCTAATTTGCAGGAGTTGACCGACCAGTTTCGTCTGCAGTATGCCAACCTGTGGCTAGCCCTGATTCGGCGGGATCTTGAGTCCCTGCAATATTGGGGCAACCAGCTGGGTGTGTCGGGCGAGCTCTACAAAATCCTCTCGTGCATTGTGTCGGGCCGCTCGTGGACCTCCATCACTCGGGGAATTGATCGACAGAAGCACACCAAGGCAGAGGTAACAGGTGCCATGATAATCGTGTTATAATTTTTTATCTATATACAATACCTCAAAGGCCCCAATGAAGGGGTTTTACATGAGGGGTGTGCTATTACAATGAATTAAAGGGGTAGGTACTCGATTGCTGCTTTGAAGTTGATGATTGTGTACAACTTCAAGAGGAAGGCCATTTCAATCTCGTGCTCTGCTGCCAAAAAATGAATGAAAGGTGTGCAGTGGTGTGAACATTTGATGGGTACAAAGCTTTCTCATGGTCAATGCGGTCTGAATGACGAGGGGTGTGCTTGATAGCAGGAGTACGTTGTGATGCATGATAAAACTAACTTGAAAAACAGGCACAAACGAGTCATACGGACAGACTGGGGGGACAAAAGGGTACCAAGTTTAGCATGAGAATCAAGTCGAGTTGCACTTGACTGGTATGAATAACCTGAAAAGTTGAATCTTGCTGCCTGGTATTGCAGTTTCAAGTGTTTTAGCGTTGTTACTCTGGTGCGGGTCCCAAACAGCCTAAACGTTGATAGCCAAGAGCGTGGTTTGCTTCATCAGTAATGTGTGTCATGTGAAGAGACCGTGTTGAATCAGAAGATAAATGGACAGCTAAATATTTGTATGTACTTACAGATGTTTCAGTGTTATTAATGAAGCCGTATTTTTGTGCGTATAACCCGCCCCTGCATATAATCCGCACCCCCACTTTCAGCTCACCGAGAAAGAAAAAAAAAATCCTCGCGTATTGCCCGCACATTTGATATACAGGAAAGGCTGTACAAAAGCTACTGCTCAAGCAACATAGTACATATGTAGACCGAAAAAGCTCTATTTAGCAAGCAGAATATGCTGTCTGCAAGGCCAGTCACAATTCACTCACTGTCGCTGCTCTCGCTAGAGCTATCACTTGAGCCGCAGTCCTCACTGTTATGCACAAGGTCATCTTCGGTTCCATCTATGTTGTTTGTGATGCAGCATTTCTTGAAACTTTTGTGCACCATCTCACCTGGAATGGCCTTCCATGCCTCGACAATCCACTTGCAGAATAGGGCAATATCAGGCCTTCGGACTCGTCCTGTCGGCGTCACATCGTAGAGGCCTTCGGCCATCCACTCGGCGTAATAGCGCTTTACATGCGCTTTGAAGGGCTTGTTAAGCGACACATCTAGAGGCTGCAACATTGACGTCGTTCCACCGGGTATAACAACTAAGTCGGTGCCGTTGCGTGAAAGGCGGTCCTTCACTTCCTCAATTGTGTGGCCGCGGAACGAGTCAAGAACGAGCATGGACCTCTTTGCGAGCATCGCACTCGGCCTCTTTTCCCATACCGTCTTGATCCAGTCCACGAACAAGTCACTGTTCATCCACGCAATCTCTTGTGCCCGCACCACCACACCGGCAGGTAAATGAATCTTTTGTAGAGATTTCCTTTTCAAGATAACGTACGGTCGCAGTTGCGTGCCGGTGGCGAGGACACAAAGCAAGACTGTGATGCGCAGTTTCGTGTTCCCGCCGGTCAGCACGCTCACCGAACTGCTGCCCGTCTTCTCAATCGTTGTGTCTGGCGGCATTTCAAAATAAACAGGAGTTTCATCCGCATTGCCGATTTGCGAGAAAATGTAATTGTGCTGCTTTCAAAGGCCAATTACTTATCTCTCGTACTTGGGCAGATTCTCCTCATAAGAAGCCGGCAAGCGTTGACATATTAAAGTCCGCCGTCTGATTGATAGCCCTTGCCGCTTCATAAAGCGGTGCAGCCATCCGCGGCTCGTACGGAACTTGTGAGGTAGGCCTAGCTCCCTCGAAAGTCGCCGTGGTTCCACTTGGGCCATCTCGGTCGATACGGCGTTACCCCTGCTTCTCACATCTTTGATGAACTTTACTAGCTCCGCCTCCAGCTCAAAGTAGGCACCGGTCTTGGGGCCACGAAATGACCTGCGGTCGCGGTGCACAGCTTGTAGGCTCTCTTTATTTTTTCTCCACAGTCGCATGCAGGACTCGTCCACATCGTGCCGTCTTCCCGCTTCGGGATTTCCGAATTCCTCGGCGACGGCGATGATCTTAAGCTTTCGCTGTGCCGTGAAGGACTGCCGCCGTACGCTACTCATGGTGACAGAACAAATCAGCTTAGGCTTCCACGACTTAGCACTACCCCTTCTAGTACACTGTAACAGCACCCTGGAAACAACAGAACCGAAATGCATGCCTGCTACCGCGTCAAAAAGTAGTACATAAATTTACTGATAATATCTCTATCTCTCTCGCAAACGTCCAAAAAATATACTTGTAGTGTGACGGTGAGATTTTACACTGAACAATCGAATTGTCTCTCCCTAAATGTTTTTCTAAACGCTTCAACGATGCAAGCAAGCGAAACAAAAATCGGCCGCAAGCTGCAATGCTACTTGCGGAGCAACACAAATTTGTGGAAACCGCGTCCGTAGCTTTCGCTACACTGTTAAGGGGCTTCACAGCACAATACGCATTGCTGTGAAGCAGCACTATAGAAAAAATCTCGTGTATTATCCGCACCTCCATTTTGCCACTGAAATTTTTGGGTTTTTGGTGCGGGTTATACGCGCGAAAATACGGTAAGTCAAGTTAGAGTGGTACTGTTGGAAATTAAAATTAGTGATGTTTTGCTTGTGTTTAAGGACATTAACCATTTTTTACACCAGATTTAAATTTTATGAAGCTCAGGTTGAAGTTCATGAACATATGATATGTTGTTATTTGGGTGATAAACGAGAGAATCATCTGCAAGAAGTGTGATGTCAGGGAAAGTTTATTTGGCAAGTTGCTAATGTATATTAGGAAAGGTAATTGCTCTAGGACTATGCCTTGAAGCATGCCTGAAATGATGGTGCGTAATGACGAAGATAGATTATTATTGTAGAGAAACTGTTGGCAGTGACTTAAAAAGTTTTAGGTCGATTGAAAACTAATGGCTGAAGAGCAAGGTTTTATGAGGAACTTTGTCAAAAGCTTTCTCGAAATCCTAAAAAAAGCGTGTCCACCGGTATAGTTACATCAATGCTAGAGCTAATGTCATTGACAAACAGAGCTCGTTGAGCGATGTGTGAAACATTGTTCTGAAAGCCATGTTGGTGGTTAATAAAGAAATCGAGAGATATGAGGAAGTTGACTGAATGGGAGCAGATTATGTGGTTTATTAATTTAGAGCACACACTTGTGAGCTAAATGGAACGATAGTTTCTGGGTGAATACAATTTAGCTTTATTTGTGATTAGGATGACTTTGCCTACCTTCCAGTCTTGTGACTCCACTTCAAATGAAAGGGATTACTGAAAAATGTTAGACAAAAGCATACTTGTTAAAAGTTTAGTGTTCTTAAATATTTTTGTGTGAATGCCATTTGTGGCCATTGATGAAATCAGCTTTAAGGAATCGATTATTTTAAAATAGTGCTGGCATGAAATACGATTTTCGACATGATCAGGTGGCATACAAAAAGGCATGGGGATGTTCATCTAGGGTGAATACAGAGCAGAAGGTTTAGTATATTACATGTGCACTATAGTGCTCAGGCTATTGAAACATTATGCTGTCTCATAGTGTAATGTTCGGTGAAAGGGTAGCAGATGGTGGAATAATTGTTATATAATACCAATACTAAGTAAATCAGGTGAGGTAAACGAATAAAAAGAACTTGTGCCTTTGTTTGCAAGAGAATCAAAAAGGTTTTTGGTTGCCTTGTATTTGTTCTATGCGCACTGAGTTTAGTATTTTTTCAAAATTTCTAGAATATTGTTCAAATACTTCAAAGCAAAGCTGGACAAAAGAAAGTTGGACAGTATTCCAAAGCATATTCTTATGAGATAGCAACATGAAAGTGTTTCTTTTGGCCAGGTTGAGGAAGTATTGGCGAGGCGGTGTTTTATAGTTGCTTTATCCAAAATGAGGCAATGCAGAGATTGAATCGTGTTGGTTTACACGATTCAGTGCAACTAAAATTTTTTTGACAACAATTTACATGTGAAAAGAAAACATGCTACTTCCTCAGCCTGTCCTTCTCTTTAAACTTCTGTGGAAGCCCAAATGATGGGGCAGACAAGGATGCTCTCACTTTGCATCTTTGTCATCAGTAATAGGGGTGTGTGAATATTCAAAACATCGACTGTTTTTTTAATAGTACTTGCTATTTGATTCAATTCAATTCACACTGGAATTTTTACTATTTCAGCTATTCGAGCTTTCCAGAAGACAAATACAGTCAAGATCCGATTGGCAGTGGTCCCTTCAGATATTTTGTGTACTTCACACTGTCAGACTACTATCGTCTGACGGGGTGAAGTCAGACGGGGCACATTGCAGCGAAGCTACTTTTCAGGTTTTGCTATGGTAACAAATGTATTGACTCAAAAGAACGCTTATTCCGACATGGAGATGCACTGCATCGTTACAGTGGCCTCTTCATATCTTTAATATTGTCACGAGGTTGTGACGTGGCCGAAGACAGGAAACTGTATGTTGAGCTCAAACTGTTTATTTAGGCAAACCTGTGCCGTTAAATGGAAAGTCGGATTACAGTGGCAGACTTGCGCTGATAGCAGCGAATGGAGCGTCAACCGTCGATCAACTGACAAGCGGCGAAGCGCGTCTGCATTTATATACTTGCCATCGAATGCTCTAGCTGTTATCGCTAGCGGTGACGTAGGTTCCAGAATAATCTGAGTGACGTGGTGACCGTCGAATACAGTCAGACCTCATTAGTGCGTACCCCCTTGAAGCGTACTAACAGTTAAAACATAGTTGCAACGAATCCCCGACCAAGTCTCATAGAACCTAATGCATTTGTGGACCACTTAAGCCGCGGTGTTCGGCCTATGCCTACCGGCTAATGCGTACTAATTGTGTACAGCGATAACATTTTGTGCAACAAAATTTTACTGCTCATTGAACTTTGCCATAATGTTCCGTGAATAATTTTCAGTCATGTTGATCAGTGCAGTGATCAGCCAATAAGTTATTTTGACTTCCGCGCG